CTGGAGGCCTGGTTTTCAACCACTGATGCAATTAACAAACATGTTGAAATAGACCCCATCTACATATCACTATGGCACAAAACCGGAAATGAGACAGCTCACCATGACAGAGCGGACCATATAAATTCAGAGCTGGACAGAACAACAGTGCTTCAATGGGGGCTACACAGCACTGATGATGTCACCTAGAAGGGAGACAAAATGTTTGCATGAAAACCAGTCAACTCAGTGAACCAACCAACAACTCTAAACTGATTTCAATTGGAACACCCTTGATCTGTTACCCTCACTCAGCATAGGCCATATGCATGAACTACTCAAAACAAAACCTTAGCAAATGTTCTAGACTGTAAAATTCAGTCAAAATGATAAATGACTCATTACTGTGGCTCAGTTTGGAATTGGTTATATAATTCTGCTGAGTAAGAATTTCAAAACCAGATTGAGTGAAATTAATGCAACCTGCTGCTAATAATTAATTTCCTGCTTTACTCCAGGTCAGACTTGATGACAACAACAACTTGTCTTGATATAGCACATTTGCTGTAGTAAAACATCCGAAGGTGCTTTATAGTAGGCTATGAAAAGAGAAAATAAGGGGTTATTCAGACAGGAAACCAAGCAGCTAGACAAAGAAGTATCTCAAAGGTGAAACAGTGCTGGAGGGTTTTAGGCATTCAATTCACCTACAGATGGTCTCTCTGTTCATACCATTACCTGGCTTCAAGATGTGGGTGTGTTTCATTGTGGTAACTGTACACTGACGATTCTGCACTAGCCCATTCAGCCCCTCGAGTCTGCACTCCGAAGAGCATCCCACCCCGATCCAGATCCCCACCTTATCTCCGTAACCCTGTATTCCCAATGGCTAATCACCCATCCCAGCCTGCATATCCCTGGACACTATGGGCAATTTAGTATGGCCACATCTTTGGACTGTGGAGGAAACCAGAGCACCTGGAGGAAACCCACACAGACACAGGGAGAACATACACGTTCCACACAGACAGCAAATCAAGGGTAGAACCGAACCCAAGTCCCCGGCGCTGTGAGGCAGTAATGCTAACCGCTGAGCTCCTATGTTGATAAGTAATTAATGGACAAGTAGTTCATTAAAACATCTGCATGGCGACAAGTGCTAAAGTGTGATAATGATATTGATTGATTGATTGATTGGCACATGTACCGAAGTGCAGTGAAAAGCTTTGTTTACGAGCAGTACACGCAGATCATAACAAGCAAGGATGTACGGATCAGAGGTTGTAAAAAGACTTAAAGACATACAGGTTACATTACACACTCTGTGCATTAGGTGAGATCAACATTAGTAAGATCAGCATTGTTTAAGGCTAGAGAGTCCATTCATCAGTCTAATAATGGCCAGGAAGAAGCTGTTCCTGAACCTGATTGTGCGTGTGTTCAGGCTTCTGTATATTCTGCCTGATGGAAGAGGTTGTAGGAGATCATTACCGGGGTGTGATGGGTCATTGATGATGTTGGCCGCCTTTTGCAGCAGCAAGTAAATGGAGTAAAGTGTAAATAGAGTCCACGTATGGAAGGTCAGCTTTTGTGATGGCCTGGGCTGTGCACACCACCTTCTTACAGTCCTGGGCAGAGCAGTTGCCATACCAGGCGATTATGCACCTGGACAGTATGCTTTCAGTGGTGCATCTGTAGAAATTGGTGAGGGACCTTATAGACATGTCAAATTTCCTGAGCTGCCTGAAGAAGAAGAGGCATTGTTGTGCCTTCTTGACTGTCACACCTATGTGGGAAGTCCAGGGCTGGTCGTCAGTTATCATTGCTCCAAGGAACTTGATGCTCTGTACTCTCTCAACCTCAGTTCCGTTGGTGTAGATGGGGGCGTGTTCTCCTCCCTTCTTTCTGAAGTCGATGATCAGTTCTTTAGTTTTGTCCATGTTAAGAGACAGATTGTTTTCATTGCACCACATCACCGAGCCCTCTGTCTCCCTTCTGTATTTTGACTTGTCATTTTTAGATATCCGTCCCACTGCGGTGGTGTTGTCAGCGAACCTGTAGATGGCATTCGTTAGGAATTTGGCAACACAGTCGTAGGTGTACAGGGAGTACAGTAGGGGGCTGAGGACGCATCCTTGGTGGGGGGTCCAGTGTTGAGTGTTATTGTGGAGGAGGTGCAGTTAACTATCCTCACTGATTGTGGCCTGTGGGTCAGAAAGCTGAGGATCCAGTTACAGAGGGCGGAGCCAAGACCAAGATCACACAGTTTTGAGATCAGTCGGGAGGGAATAATGGTGTTGAAGGCAGAATTCTAGTCAACGAGCAGGAGTCTGATGTAGGTGTCTTTGTTGTATAGATGTTCCAGGGATGAGTACAGGGCTAGGGATATGGCATCCTCTGTGGATCTGTTTTGTCGGTAGGTAAACAGTAGGGGATCGTGGCAGGTTGGGAGACTGGAGTTGATGTGGGCCATGACTAGCCTCTCGAAGCACTTCATGATTATTGAGGTCAGAGCCAGATACTAAAAGAAACCAAATAATTACTTAACAGTTACAGAACAGTAATTTTAAAAATGAAGAAAATAATAAAATTATTCACAGTTATGAAGATAAGAAGATAAACAATTACAAATGCAAAATGCATGTCTCCTTAACCCACAGAATAAAAATGAAAGGTCGATTGCTTCTTAGATTTTGTATTAAAGTCTATGTTGTCAGATTGAGTTAATTATATTCTCAATCAGTTGCAATTATTTATCAATCTTATAAAGTAGGGGGTTGACCTGTCTCATAGCGTATTCGTTCTCTGTATGATTTGTATCATGGGGCTTTTCTCCTTAATTTCATCACTCCATTTACTTTTTTCTGATTGAGGCAAGAGATGGTGGAAGTGGGAAGCAGGATTCGATGGTGTTCCAGCAAAATCTAGATAGCAGTTCTTTGTTTTTCAGCAAGGGATTACATTGTTTGTGGCAGAGTAGATTTGGTACATAAATAAAAACTGAAAGAACTGTGGATGCTGGAAATCAGACATAGAAACAGAAATTGCTGGAAAAGCTCAGCAGGTCTGGCAGCATTTGTGGAGAGAAATCAGAGTTAACGTTTTGGGTCCAGTGACCCTTCCTCAGAACTAGATTTGGTCCATGTTACCTAGGATCAGTTCCAGTGCTCATTTCTAAATGTTTTTGAGCTTGTTAACATGTTCATTGGAAAAGTTCAGCATTCTGAATCAGTGCCATATATTTGACAATGAATATTACATATCTATCAAACACCATAAATAGGTCTATTTGAGAGATGTTGCAGTGTTTGAGATGATTTGCCATGTTGTCGTAATGCCATCCACCAGCGTTGACAATGTGATGCTGGAGGTTGTTGATATCTTTATATATCTGGGCACTGCAATCACCAGCAAGCTGCCACTTGAGACTGAAATCAGCACACATTGCAAAAGTTACAGCCGCTATATTCCAAGCTGAGTAACAAAGTGTGGAACAACAACAGTCTGACTAAGAGCACCAAACTGCCAAGCCTGCATCCTAAGCACAGTCCTCTATAATAGTGAGGTAGATGAAGGAAGTGAGCAAGGTATCAGGATGGTGGACAAGTTAGCATTTGGTATTTTGTAACAACAAGCTTATTTCTGGTGACCTTATTCACAATAAGTGTTCTCAAGTTAAAAGCAATTGTGTGTGTGACTGAAATTCATAAAGGTCTTGACTTTCCTTATCAGTAGCGGAGAGAGTCATGATCAGAAGAGTTAGCGAAGATGATGTTGCGAATCATTATGTGTACTGCTTAATGGCATGGCCCATGCCTAGACTTGGTCGAACACAATACAAGGATTATGTTGCAACCCTACACGTGTTGCCATACAAATAACTGTAGTGTTCTTTTGTCTTCAGCTTGAACTATAGTGGAGTTTGCCTGGCATCTGATGGGCTCTTCAGGGATTTCCTGGATGGAATAGGTCCTGCACAGTTTGTGGGTCGTCAGACACTGGCCACACCATCGATGGGTAAGACACTCTGACACCTCATTAATTATAACTTCAACATTGACCCAGTGTGATTTTGTGAGCCACATGAGAGAGACATTAAGAGTATGGTCATCCTGACCACATGATCAGGGGCACTCAACCTGCTGAACTCAGCAGCTCATTACATATTCACTGCCAGCTTTCCTGGATCCCATCTACAACTCTTCAACTCACCCCGGGAGCATGTTTTCAATCTGCTTATGAGGTCCTCTGTCCCCAATCCACAACAGGACGCACAAAGTTACCCACCCACTGTGAAAAGGGGGTAAAATGGAACTTTGTTCATGTGGTATATTCCTTGATATCAGCTTCTGTAGGACTTTCAACCACACATAATGGAGGATTAACATCATGTGCAATATGTTTGAGACTGTGAAAGAGAGAGTGAGTGACAAAGTGAGAAAAAATTAATAGTTCAAGACGTAGAGAGTGAGACAGCAAAAGTGAGAAAGAGACAGACCATTAAACATTGGGAAGAAAGAGTATGAGGGAAGAGATAAAGATGAGTCTTTTTTATGTCATTGCTGTGTCATGCCACAGAAATGTTCCAACACTTTCCCCGCAAAAAAATTGCATTTCCTTATCGCCTGTTCTCTCCACACAATATCTCAATGCATTTAGTAACCAATGAATTGCTTTCAGTTGTCTATTGTGGAAAATCACAGCTGTCAAATGTGCATGGCAAGATCCCAGAAATATTGAGATAAGTGTATTAATTTACTTTTTTGTACAGCAATCCCATGTATCTTATAGAGGATAGCTTCCCCTATATATATAATAGTATACAATCACAGCAGCTGTGAATATTAGCATTTGTGTATATTACAGAGAATAGTAGCTTCATTTTTAGATTGTAGAGAGTAGCAGCCTTTGTGCATCATCTAGGGAATTGCAGTCTCTGCATGTTAGAGGATAGCAGGCTGTATGTACACTGTAGATGATGGCAGTGAGAGGAAGGGTCACTGGACCTGAAATGTTAACTCTGATATTTTCTTCACAGATGCTGCTAGACCTGCTGAGCTTTTCCAGCAACTTCTGTTTTTGTAGTCAATAGCAGTCCCTGTCTATATTTTAGAGATTAGCAGTAACTGTCTGTATTATGGAGAACAACAGCCCAGATGTATATCCAGTGAATGTCAGCTTTGTCTATACTCAGATGGATAGCAGTCCTCGTGTATGTTACTGAGAATAGCAACCGCTGCGTATATCATAGAGAATAGCAGTCTCAGTGTATACTGAGATGAATAGCTTTCCATGTTTATGTTATTGGGAAAACCAGCCACTCTAAATATTGTAGAGAACAGCAGACCCATGTGCATCTTAATGAAGAATTAAAAAGAAGCCTATGATCTAAATGCTGAGAGATTGCAGAACTCTGAGATACAGAGGGACGTAAGTGTCCCAGTGCATCAATCATAAAAAGGCTAGTATGTAATTAGGAAAGCCTATAGAATGTGATCATTTTTTGGGAAAGTAATTGAATATAAACATTGGGAGGCTATGCTTTGGTTTTATAGGGCTATGGTGAGATGGCAACTGAGTACAGTATTGGTCACTTTATTTAAGGAAGAATGTAAATGCGTTGGAAGTAGTTCAGAGACTAACACCTGGAATGGGTTGTCTTACAACAAAAGGTTGGAGAGTCTTGATTTGTGTCCACTGCAGTCTGGAAGAGTAAGAGGTGACGATTGAAACGTACAAGATCCTGAGAGTTCTTGACAGGGTGGATGTGGAGTGGATGTTTCTTCTCATTGGAGAATCTATAACTAGGGAGTCACTGTTTAAGAATAAAGGGGGCTTCCATTTTAGACAAAGTTGAAGTGAATTTTATTTGCTTGGAAGATCATAGATTTTTGGGTCTCCTTTTCCAAAATGTCTGTGAAAGAAGAGTTTTTGAAAATCTTTAAGGCAGAGTAAGAAAAGGGGTAAAGGTTTATCTGGAGTATTGTGGAATCCCCACAGTGCAGAAAGAGGCCATTTGGCCAATCAGGTCCATTCTAACCTTCTGAAGAGCATCCCACTCAGACCCACCTGCCTAAACCTGCATTTTCCATGGTTAATTCACCTAGGCTGTACATCCCTGGATAATTTAGCATGGCCAATCCACCTAAGCTGTGCATCTTTCGACTGTGGAAGAAAAATGGAGCACCTGGAGGAAACCCACACAAACGAAAGGATAACGTGCAAACTCCACACAAATAATCTCCCAGAGCTGGAATCAGACCTGAGCCTCTGACATTGTGAGGCAGCAGTGCTAACCACTGAGCCACCGTACCGCCCCAGTAGGTGGGAACGTAGATTTGAGGTTACAATCTGAACAGCAATGATCTTATAACGTTGTGGAGCATACTGGAGAGTTCACATTTATCATTTATTCATTCATGGATGAGGGTATCACTGGCTGGGCCCAGCATATATTGCCCATCCCTAGTTGCCCCTTGAGAAAAGTGGTGCTGAGCTGCCTTCTTGAACCACTGCAGTCCATGTGCTGAGGGTTGACCCACAATGTTATTAGGGAAGGAATTCCAGTATTTTGACCCAGCGACACTGTAGGAATAGCGATATATTTCTAAGTCAGGATGGTGAGTGGCTTGGAGGGAACTTGTAGGGGGTGATGTTCCCATGTATCTGTTGCCCTTGTCCTACCCCTTTAAATAGAAGTGATCATGGGTTTGGAAGGTGCTCTCTAAGGAGCCTTGCTCAATTTCTGCAGCTGATCTTGTAAGTGGTAACACATTGCTGCGACTGAATATTGGTGATGGAGGGATTGAATGTAAGTGGATGTGGTGCCAATCAATCATGATCTAGGCATGATGGGCTGAATGGCCTCCTTCTGTACAGTAACAATTCCGTGATTCAAATGCGTTGCTTTGTCCTGGATGGTGTCGAGCTTCTTGAGTGTTGTTGGAGCTGCATGCATCCAAGCAAGTGGGGAGTATTCCATCACACTTCTGACATGTGCCTTGTAGGTGGTGGACAGGCTTTGGGGAGTCAGGAGGTGAATTACTTGCAGTATTCCTAAGGCTTCGACCTGCTCTTGTAGCCACTGTATTTATGGGCTAGTCCAGCTGAGTTTTGGTCAATGATAGCCCATAGGATGTTATAGTGGGAGATTCCGTGATGGTAACACCATTGAATATCAATGGTTGAAGTTTGATTCTGTCATGATGGAGATGGTCATTGCCTGGCATTTCTATGGCACTTTCCATTCACTGCCCAAGCCTGGGAATTGTCCAGGTCTTGCCTAATTTGGGCATGGATTGCTTCAGTGTCGAGGGAGTTGTGGATGGTGCTGAACATTGTGCAATCATCAGTGAACATCCCCACTTCTGACCTTACGCTGAAAGGAAGGTCATTGATGAAGCTGCTGAAGATGGTTAGGCCTAGGGCACTACCCTGAGGAACTCTGGTGGAGTTATCCTGCAGCTGATATGACTGATCTCCAGAAATCACAACCAGCTTCGTGTGTGCCAGGTATGACCCCAACCAACAGAGAGTTTTCACCCTGGTTCTCACAGTTTTGCTAAGGATCTTTGATGCCACAACCAGTCGAATTAAGCCTTGATATCAAGGGCTGTCACTCTCACCTCACCTCTGGAATTCAGCTCTTTTGTCCATGTTTGAACTGAGGCTGTAATGAGGTCAGGAGCTGAGTGGTCCTGGCGGAACCCAAACTGGGCGTCACTGAGCAGGTTATTGCTGAGCAGGTGCTGCTTGATAGCACTGTTACTGACACCTTCCATCACTTTAATGATGATTGAGAGGAGACTGATGGGGCAGTAATTGGCCGGGTTGGATTTGTCCTGCTTTTTATGTATAGAACATACTTGGGCAATTTTCCACATTGTCAGGTAGATACCTGGGTTGTAGCTGTACTGGAACAGCTTGCTGGGGGACCAGCAAGTTCTGAAGCACAAGTCTTCAGTGCTATTGCTGGAATGTTGTCAGGGCCCATAGCCTTTGCAGTATCCAGTGCCTCCAACCATTTCTTGATATCATATGGAGTGAATCAAATTGGCTGAAGACTGGTATCTGTAATGCTGGGGACCACTGGAGGAGGCCGAGATGGATCATCCACTGGGCACTTCTGGCTGAAGATTGCTGTAAGTTCTTCAGCCTTATCTTTTCCACTGGTGAGTTGGGCTCTCCCATCAATTAGGATGGGAATGTTTTTGGAGCCTCCTCTTCCAGTGAAGTTGTTTAATTGTCCAACATTATTCATAGATGTGACAGGACTGCAGAGCTTAGATCTGATCCATTGGTTGTGGAATAATTTAGCTCTATCAATTATTTGCTGCTAATGAAGTTTGATATGCAAGTAGTCCTTTTTTGTAGCTTCACCATGTTGACACCTAATCTTCAGGTATGCCTGGTGCTGCTCCTGGCATACCCTCCTGCACTCTCCTTTGAACCAGGGTTGATCCCCTGGCTTGATGGTAATGGTTGAGTGGGGGATATGCTGGGCCATGAGGTTGTAGATTGTGTTGGAGTACAATTCTGTTGCTGTTGAAGACTGGTCTTGAGTTGATAGATCTATTCAATATCTATCCCATTCAGTATGGTGGTCGTGCCACATGACACGATGACGGGTATTCTCAAAATGAAGATGGAACTTTGCTTTGTTGATAGACACATCTGTAAAGGGCAGCTTGGTAAAGATGAGGTTTTCCCTTTGTGTTGGTTCCTTCACCACCTGCCACAGACCCAGTCTAGTGGCAATGTCCATTAGGTCTCGTGCATTTTGTTCAGTATTGGTGCTACTGAGCTCCTATTGGTGTTTGACATTGAAGTCCCACACTCAGAGGATATTCTGGAGGAGTGCTGATTCATCAGCCTAGGGAACATGGTATGTGGCAATCAGCAGGAGGTTTCCATGTTTGACCTGATGCCATGAGACTTCATAGGGTCCAGCGTCAATGTTGAGGACCCCCAGGGCAACAACCTCCCATTTGTATACCACTGTGCTGTCACCTTTGCTT